GTGAGCCGCCGTGAGCGGCCATTGGACGGCCGGCGACCGATCTGCCTCACCCGGGAAGAGTGCAATGATCACAATACCAACATGGGCCAGTGAAGCGACGTCCTCCACAACTAGACTGAAGAACAAAAGGACAGCAACTTGTCTGTTCCCCTTCCCCGATTCCCCAACGCTGTTTCCTCCCCCAATTCCTCAATAAAATCTTTTAAAAAGAAAATGTTTAAGAAGGCAAATAACAGAGAAAATTAAAGGACTCTTATAAAATGATAATAAAAAGAAAACTCAATTTGAAAATAGGGAAAAGATTTTAAAACTTCCCCTAAGATATACTAACTGCAAATAAGCACATGAAAAGATATTCAATATCATTAGCCATTAAGGAAATACAAATTGAAACTATGAGATACCACTACACACCTATGAGAATGGCTAAAATGAAGAAGACTGGCAATATGAGGTGTTGGTGAGGATATGGAGAAACTGGAACCCTAATACATAGCTTTGGAAACAATTTTAGCAGTTTCTTATAAGATCAAGCATATATTTATTATGATACCCAAGAGAAACGAAAACATTATGTCCCCAGAAATATTTATACAATGTTTATAACAACTTTATTCATAACAGGCAAAAGCTAGAAATAACCCAAAGTCCATAATCTGATGAAAAGATAAACAATTTGTGATATTCTGTACAAAGGAATATCATTCAGCAATAAAAACAGTCCAACTACTAATATGTACAACATGGATGAATCTCAAAAGCATGCTAAGTGCAAGAAGCCAGACACAAAGATTGCATGCTATATATAACTCCATTTGTATGAAATTCTAGAAAAGGTAAAACTAGAGATCAGTGGTTGCCAGGGAATTTGGGAGGAGGAGATTAACTGCAAAAGGGTATAAGGGAACTTTTCTAAGATGATAGAAAGGTTCTCTATCATGGCTGTAATGATGGCTACATGACTGTACACATTGTCAAAACTCATCACACTGGACACCTCAAATTGGTTGTTTTATTGTATGTGAACTATATCTCAAACTGATTACAAAATACAGTGATGGATTCACACTTTATTATATCTCATAATTACAAAAGAACTTTAAAACAAGCTTTCTTAAGTTTTAAATTTGAGCATTCATTATACAATACACAAATTTAAGATATGGGGCAAGTTACCATAGGAAGTATACATTGTCTTCATTACTTACTAATTCATCTTAAAATTCAATTAAATAAAACCTGAGATTTGCCAGAGCCTATCCAAATCTGTTACAGAAAGAAGCAAATTACAGAGTACTACTCATTTAGACTAGCCATAACAACTTAAGCTATAAAAATTATCCTCTTGCTGTGTTTCATAATGCATTACAAAGTGAGTTTTTAATTAGTTAAAAACTTTTTTTTTAATTATAACTTTCTAAAACATACACTTTTGGTAATAAAATTATACAGTTTTAAGCAACAAAGCAGTTTACCACAACAAAGGTTGTGGTAAATTACTCACAGATACTGAAGAAATATATGTAAGGCAAGAATCAACATTCGGTGTACATCCTGCTTTCAGATGCTTTGACAATACTATTGCACTGCTAGCTGTAAAGTACAGTAGTGCAATAAAGTCAGAGCATTCGTTAGCAGTAATTGGTAGGAAAGGAACACAAAAGCATCTTGCATCAGTTGAAGCTTCAGTTGCAAAAAGAATTTAAAGAAAAATTGCCATTTTGGACAGAAGACCTCCAAAACCTAAGAATATTTATATCAATGTTTAAAAAAAAATAGGACTTAAATATCAAAGTGATATTATTTTTTGATAACTAACCTATGATTAATATTCAAACAGAAACATGCATAAATGTAGAAAGGAATTTTGTAAATATGTCCTAGCTTTATAAGTTATTAACATAGGTATTCTTAATACCTTAGGGCTGGTATTAACGAAACTGGTTATAATCACTACTAAGGCAAAGTTGTGAAAAATATTTCTGTTTTGCTGATATATATTTGTTAGCTCCTCCATAACAATTGATTAATTGCCATATAAAACAAGTCTTTTGGGTAAGAATATCAAAGAAAACAAATGAAAAGTAAAATAATGAGTTTCCCGATTTCTATATATCCAATCTCTCTCTCTGGAATCTAAATTATAATACAAAAAGCATTTACCATTGTAGGGCTTTTAATCTCAAGAGTTTACAGACTTCCAGGGGACCAATGTGTCCTAAACATGACACCATTAGTCCTATTTAATTGAATATTATGGAAGGGAATTTTAAATTTTCAGTTAATCCCTAACCCATCTTAAATATAGGAGATCCTCTCCATTTATTTCAAACTTAGAAAAAACTTGGGAGAAAATATTGGGATCATGGGAGGGGGATCCAAGATTTAAGTATCAGGTTTCCTTGAATTCAAGCCAATTAATATCCTAAACTTTTAACTGGTAAGAAACCATTCAAAGGTCAGATGTAAACCCAGAAGTATAAATACAAATAGTATTATTGTATCACATTGCACTACCTTTTGTACACAATCACTAGTGGTACCAAGAAAGGACACTACAGAAATACTACTCAATAAGTGAAAGAAAAGAGAACAAAGATTACCCTATAGTGAGCTTATTCCTCCATTAATAATGTTGATTGATGCAAAAATACTTTTCATTATGTTCACTAACCTTCTTTTTAAATGGTCCAGTTCAGCTATTTGGTTGAATTTAGCCTACTAAGAAATAAACTCAAATTCAAGACAGTTGGAGCATGAGTGTCTTGACCTCAAATCCTGGGCCACATAACTCAATATTAGAATATTTCAACAAAAATCAGAGAATTGTAGTGTAGATGATTTACCTTTAGAATCTTGGAAACTAAACTAGTTCAGATACATTTTTTTCTAAAAGCACACAGTAAATCTGAAGATGAGATGCACCACCTTTTACTATCCAATCAATACAAAGCAGTAATAAAGATAAATAGTTCAAATTTGTTTTAAACCCTAATGATTATGGAAACAAATAACTAGAATGGGATGGGGGTGGGGAGCTACCACTAGGTTACTTGCAAGGAATTTAAGAGTGATCTGCTTTCTTTTCCTCTCTTAAAGAGAATTTTTAAAAAACTAACCCATCATTCAAACATCTAAAAGTTTGAGTCTGGCTACCTCATAATTTTCTAAAACCTACTTTTTTCAAGATGTACATCTAATTGTTTTCCCCTTAAAATAAAGTGTGTTCAATCTTTTTTAAAAAGTCCTGTGAGAATACTCATTCATTGCAAAGTTCAGAAAAGGCTTAACTGGTGCCTCAAAACTACACGGCAAACTTTGGGGAGGGGGGAGGAGTTGTTAAAAGCAAAATTAGTATCATTTAGCGTCTTACAATTAGACAGAAATATCCATCTGGAGGGAGGAATTCAGAATGAGTGAAAAGGGCCAGACACTGCTAACATTCTAGAATCAAACTACTATTAATATAATACTTAACTTTTTTTAAAAAAAAGACAGTTAATGATAAGAATAACAAAACTTTCAACTAAAAGTTCATTATTACAGGTTTGGAAAGCTGCAGAAAATTCTTCCTTCTTCTCTGCCATCCCTCTCCTTCCCTATCTCCACCCCCCAACCCCACCTCAAGAAAATTGAAACTCAAAACCTTAGAAGCAACTGAAAGCCTTCAAATCGAATTTGTCTACGAGAGGCACTACAATTCATTAATACATAAGAAAATAATAAGTATACCAAGGTCTCATATTTTCTGGGGGTGGGAATAGGGGCGAATATGGTACTCAGTTTCTTCCAGTCACTACATGCGCCAATGTTAAAGTGACCCAAGATTCAGTTTGGAGGGAGCAACCCAGGCACAAATGAGAAATGCCAGGGAATGGCAGAGGGAGGAGGGGCGGACAGCGGGTGAAGAAAAATTTAGGCTTTACTTAATCTCGTTTTTCTTTTAACAACAACAACAACAAAAAATTGTTGACAGGAGCTCAGGGGAATTCAACGATGGATGGTGCGTCCTCCAAATTTCCCATTTTAAAGGAAGCCAGTCCAATCCCCAACACTGTAATTCGGCGGGGGAGGGGTGAAATGGGGGAGAGAAGGACTTAAGATAAACAAGGGAGCAAAGAAGAAAAAAGCGCGGGCGACGAAGCTGGCAGTCTAGGGACGGGAGGCAAGAACGAGGACACGTAAGGGAAAGATCCATAAAAGAAAACTAGGACAGCTCTCCAGCTTGGCGCCTTCGAGCAGGCCAAGCAGCAGCGGGAGTCCTTTCCAATTATTCGCTCCCGCCCCCTACTTGCACAAATGAATGAAACGAGGCAACTTGAGCGCAGGCTGCCGCCCTTGTCCCAATCCCGCCCGCGCTCCAGGAAAGCAGCTCGTGGTTCAGATGCCCAAAGCTCGCTCCCCGCGCCCCACCCCACCCAAGGGCTGCCTGCCACCTTCGGGCCAAACAGAAACCGGTTGAGGGGCTTCCTAGGCCGCTAGGAAGTTGTGGCCTCAAGTCCAGCATCCTTTCTCAGACTTTCTCAGCACGCCTTGGAGGACGGGAACCGTTCAGCCCTAAAGGGATTTCTCTCCGCCCCACTAGGTTTAACCCCACCCCACCCCACCCTTCATTCCTTCTTGGAGTGGGAACGACCTCTCCCTTTCTTGGGGCATTTTGGGACCATTCCAGTCACGTCTTTTTGGTGGAAATACAAACGTCTGCAGCAACCACAGCTCCTTGAGGGGCGGAAAGGTGAAAGAAGGAACAAGGAATTCCAAACGCCCCACACCCTCAGCATCTCCCGCCATTTCCCTCACGAGCTTCCCGGATGTAACCCCTTCCCCACGGCGGTTACAAGACCAGGCGGCGGCGACTCCCTTTGGTTCAGGAGGAGGGAACTGGAGTCTGGTCCAGACTCTGCCACCCAGGGATTCCGGCGATTCCAAACTGCGTCCCACTTTGGAGGCCATCGGGGAAAACTAAACTACCCAGTAGATCTCCTTCACTTTACACTCACCATCAATTCCAGCTTATCGACCTCCTCCTCCATGTTGAATAGTTGACATTCCTCAGACCGCGGCGGCGCTTAAGCCGCAAACCATACTAGCACTGAGGGTCCCTATTGGACAGCTGTCACTCAACGTCTTGCACTCATTGGTTCCTCCGCTTCACCGGCGCCCGCCCATTGGCGCCTAGGTAACGCCTCTCCGCATGAAATATCTTTTCCTGTTGGGCAAAGACACAAAACGCCGCAGGAGGATTGGCTGCTGTACCCCCTTTTTTTTCCATTGGCTGCACCCTCATCTCTACTTTCAATTTCATACTTAGGTCTCAACAGAGAAGATTGCGATTGGTGCAATCGGAAGACGAGCCACCCAATTACGCTAAGGCTTCCACAAACAGCATAGGGGAAGTGACACACCTTCTTTCCTCTCCTGCTTCCCCTCCTCTTCGCTCCCACCTTTCCCTTATTCATAGAAGATGCTCCTCAGCTCTGATTGGCCGAAGCCTGGTGCAATCTCAGCGAATCACAAGCCAGTCTGTGCTCCTACGCTACAGGGAGAACGAATCGTGGAGAGACCGTGACTGTGATTGGTTCCTCCACGATAACGTTTTAATTTTGAATTTTTCTTCGTGTAGAGGGCGAGGCTACTGCCTAGACGACATCTGATCCTTGGGCTCTTAGACTAGTAAGTGCAAGGATATCGTGCTTTGTTACCTGGGCTCGCGTCTTCCATAGTTGGGCCGTTGCTGCTTGTGTTCTTACGGTTTATCGTGGTGGGGACTTTGGCTAGACTCGGGGGGAGGAGATGGAGCGGGAAAGAGGAGGTTTGGGGCTGGGTAAGAAGTGGTCGGCCTGGTTCCACCCCAACCGTACTTCTGTTTAATTAACACTATGCAAAATATGTTTTAGAGCAAAGCATATGCCTTCCTTCTGCACAGCCTTTTACATTTTTGCTGCCCAATGTGTGGTCCACAGACCAAGGCATCTGCATCACTTGGGCGCGCTTATTAAAATGCAAATTATCGGGCTCCATCCAAACCTACTTAATCAGAATATGCATTTTAACAGGATCCCCCTAGTGATTCTTATGCACATTGAAGTTCGAGAACGTACATTTCTTGAAAGGGGATATTACTATGTTCATTGATGTAGTCTTAATATCGTCCGACCTTCTGGAGTGTCCATTTAAGAAGTGTACCCCGTTTACTACATGCCTAATACTGTGCTAGACTACGCTTTAGGGAGCTGCAATCTCTTTAGGATAAAAGAACCAGGAACTAAAAAAGCAGTACTGCACAGCATAAAACGTAAAATTAATTATAAGCAAGTACCAGAAATAGCTCTATGGTTGTTCGAAAAGAATCACTTAAACTGATAAGGGAAACTGATGAGTTGACTGAAAGCTGATTATGGGGAAGTGTAAGAAACCTCCATTAAAATGTAATTTAGGAAGATAGAAATGCAGTGCAGTTGTCATTTCCTTTGTTGCTACAGCTGTGAAGGTGCCCCCTGATGAAAAGCACTTTTCATATCACAGGGTTAATAGAAGCAGCAGTGCCAACTCTTGAAGAAGACTAATTTTTACTTTATTATTTATTGCATTTCCCTACTGGAAATAGGTTTGGACCCATCTTTTAACCATATGAAGGTGTGGTATGATTTGAAGAACTGAAAATCTCCCTCACCAAGAGATTCTCCAGAATTTAATTGTATTAAAGCATATTCCTTAACTAAAAGAGAGAACACTTGCTATCTAATACTTAACAGGAATCATTTCTTTTAATCATTTATTGAATGCAACATTATTTAGTGCCTGCTATACTTTAAGTCCTGGGGAAACAAAGATAAATAAAATTTATCCTAACCCTTGAAAAGCTCATAGTCCAGCTGAGTGACAAACTTGCAAGCAAAAGAAGGGTTCTAGAGCAAATGAAGCCTGAAACATCACTGGGGGAAAAAGTGACAAAACTAAAGTGGTCCAATTTCAGGCACATCATGAGAAGGCAGGGTTCTTTGGAAAAGACAATAATGCTTAGAAAAATAGAAGGCAGCAGGAATAGAGGAAAACCAAATATAAGATAGATTGACTCCAAAAAAGAAGACATAGGCATGAGTCTATTGGAGCTGGTCAGGGCTGTTAAAAACAGGACATGTGAACATCAGTGATGCACAGCATTGCCAGAAGTCGGAACCAACTCAAGGGGTACACAGCACATATAAAGTGCTATAGAAGCTCAATAGAGATGATGTTTTAGCCAGTATAAATTCTATAAGGACAGTGACTATGTTGGTCTTTTTTGGAATTGTATCCCAGCACCTACCATAGTACATGGTGGATTATAAACACTCAACAAATATTTGTGAGAAAAAGTAACAGTGTCTTGAAGGCAATATAAGTTGACCTGGAAGAAAAAACCCAAGCAGGGGCAAAGGCCGATAACACTATAGAAAGTATTTGGTGTTCAGTATACCTGAAGTACAAACTGCTAATCACTAGAAGAGATGAGGCTGCAAAGGGCCATTAGAGCTAAATTGTGAACAGCTTTGAAAGGTATGCTAAGGAATTTGGTTTATCCAATGGGTGATATGGAACCTTCAAAAAAAATTTTTTTTTAAGATTTTATTGGGGAATTGGGGGAAAGAACAACGTTGGGGAATCAGGGAAGGGGAACAGACAAGTTGCTGTGCTTTTGTTCTTCAGTCTACTTGTGGAGGACATTGCTTCACTGGCCCATGTTGGTATTGTGATCATTGCACTCTTCCCGGTGGACAGCCACACAACACAGCTCATGGCAGTTGCCGGCCGCTCACGCTGGCTGCCAGCCACTCACGGTAGCTTATGGCAGCCCACTGCAGCCCCACTGCAGCCTACGCTGTCGCCAGGAACTCACAGCAGCCCAGCTCCAGGTCGAGCTGTTGTTCACCATCATAGCTGTAGAGGGCACAGCGTCACTGGCCCATGTGGGATCTGAACCAGCAGCCCTGCTGCTCAGAGCCCGTGCTCCCAAGCCAACTCGTAACCAACGAGCCACTCGGCCAGCCCCCCCACCCCTTCAAATACTTTTAAGCAAGGGAATATCAGGATTATATTCTTGTTTTAAAAAACTAACTCGAGTATCAGTGTAGAAACTGAATTGGCAAGGAGAAAGACTGAAGGCAGAAGGATCACTGGAGGAACACTGAGATAAACCCAAGCTCAGGAACATTTTCCAAAACACCTGGCCTGGACTTTTCGAAAATATAAATATGAAGACAGGCAAATACTTATATAAAAATGCTGGAGAACTATTATGAACTGTTAAGAGACATTACATTTCAGTGCAATGTGGAAAGAGAAAGGGGGCAGCTATGAAGAATATTATTGAAATGATTGGGGTAATTTGAATAGGGACTGTTTATTAGATGTCAAGGTTAAATTTCCTGACTGTGTTTGTGGTTTTGTAGGAGAATGTCCATGTCCATGTTAGTAAATTCAAGCTAAAGTATCCAGGAGTGAAGTATCATGTCTACAACTAACTCTGCTCAACCAAAAACATAAACTTTTATGTATGTATATAATGCATATATCAACAGTATATATATTTTATATATGTATATTTTATGTATATATATTTTTTACATATTTATATATGTTATATGTATTATATATAACATATCTTTTCTATTTTGAAATTTTTTAAACCTTGAGAAACCTTAGAATAATACAATAAGGGTCAGCCAAGTAGCTCAGTTAGTTAAGTGCGAGCTCTGAGCAACAGGGTCGTCGGTTCTAATCACGACCCGAGCTGAGCAGCCACTGAGCTGCCAACAGGTGGCAGGATGGCTCAGCTAAAAAATATATATATATATATAATAAACATTCATATATCACCTAGATTCACCAATTGTTATCTTTCTGTAGAGGGGTGTGTGTATATCGTATATGATATATAAAAGGTATCCAGTGGGATAAACCAAATTTATATAAATATATAATTATATAATGTATTTCATATGTTATACATTTTAAATATTATGTAGAATGTACATTTTATATTATACATACACACACAAATACAGAGAGATAACAGCAATTGGTGAATTCAAGTGAATAATATATGTGTTTCTTATAAATTTTTTCTTAAACTCTTTCTTATAAATTTTATATAACCAATTGATTTTCACAGAATGCTATTGTTGATTTTTGCAGACTTCTTGTATCTGTAGCCAACCTATGGTTGCAATTTATGAACAAGTGTAGTCCTGATATGAATGTTGGTTGATATTTTCATTTACTCAATGGGCTAAGTCAAAAGCAAAACACAAATATTTATGTTGGAACTCCTCTTTAGTTATGTAAGCAACTTCTTTGATGAATCAGATAATAGTTTTCAAATACTAGAATATTATTCCTCAATTTTTTTTGTGCTGTTTCACAATGTAACAACTACAGAGAAGATACACTTTTCATTTTAATCTGCATTATTAACATCTTCTTCCTCATTTCCTTAACAGTCAACAAAATAATAAATCAAGCTCTAATTTGTAGTGTTTTACAATATTTCTGGTATAAATACCTCCATCATGGCCAATTTTAAATTTCCAATATGAAGTCACTGAATGTGGAGTTGGAAAGAATTGAGCAGTTACACAGCATTCTATAGCATTTTCACTATATAGATATAATACAGTCAAACCTCCAGAGCATAGATAATTCTAAAATCATTAGGAAGTGATGAGTTTTACATACTGATTACATTTTTTTTTTTAATTGGGGTATTGGGGGGAAGGGAACAGTGCTGGGGAATTGGGGGAAGGGGAACAGACAAGTTGCTGTCGTTTTGTTCTTCAGTCTAGTTGTGGAGGACGTTGCTTCACTGGCCCAAGTTGGCACCATCATCGCGCTCTTCCCGGGTGAGGCAGATCAGTCGCCGGTTTCTGGACGGCCGCTCACTGCGGCTGTTGGCCGCTCACGCTGGCTGCTGTCTACACACGGTCTGATTACCTTTTAAGTATAAATTATCTAATTGTAAGTTTATATAATTTAATTTTCATAGTGGATATGTTAACTGACCTTTAGACTTCCTGAAAATGTTGCAGTTACCAATCCCAGCACACCATTGGAGTGGAGATAAAGGTATAGAGTCAATCCACCAAGT